CACCCCCGGTGGGGGAGGCAGCGGCGGTAAGGGCAGGGGCAGGGCCGGGGCGGCAGGAGCAGGGGGAGGAGGAGGCGCAGGAGGCAGCTGCAACAGCCAAGGCAGGGCTGCCTCGTCCAGGAGGAGCATCAGCAAAGTGGTGTACGACGATCATGAGAGCGAGGAGGAGGAGGAGAGCATGGTGTCCGAGGAGGAGGAGGAGGAGGGAGACCCCGAGGATAACCAGGACTCCGAGGAAGAAGAGGAGGAGGAGATAATGGAGGAGGAGGACGACGACGACTCTGACTACCCCGAAGAGATGGAGGATGAAGACGATGCCAGTTATTGCACTGAGAGCAGCTTCAGGAGCCACAGCACCTACAGCAGCACCCCAGGTAGAGAGTCCGTGGGCGAACTCAAACAAGTCGAGGGCACCCCACATGCTCCCTCTAGGTTGGCAAATACGGTCCGCACTCCTATGCGAGGATATGAGGGATGCGAGGATGTGCCCGCAAGCACTCCTAGGGAGAGGGGTATGCAAATAACCACTGGCAACCCCGGGGACGCGGGGAGCATTGGAAGATGCTCACAAACGCATGCACGGAGAGGAGCAGGGAGGGCGGGCGGCACTTGCTGGAACAAGGGGATGCTTTACAAATATTCATGGGGAAGCTGGTGGCCACAGAAATGCGCGATCCACCAGGACGTGTTGCAAACAATGTCAAAAGTGTTGTGGAGCATTCACTTTAAATTCAAAAATAAGGGAAACGAGAGGCATGCCTTGCAAAGAGGTCTTTTCAATTAAATACAGGAAAGGCTGGCTTGTGCTTGCAAATACAACTTCATGTTGAAAGGAAAGGAAGCACATGTAAGTTGAAGTGGCTTAAAAAACCAAAAAACTGTAAACACCGAGAAATTTCAGGCTCTTGAGATCAGAGCTCTAACTGGATTCAGCATCTACTGGCTTTAAGACAAAAGTAGCTTTCCAAGGAGGGAAATGAGGTGCATTGTTCAAAATGGAGATTGCATTGTTATAGTTTGGGGAAAAGTGCACAGGGCCTCATTGCAAGGATGTAAACCTAGTTTGAGTTCAACACAAAGATTAAAAGGTGGAGGTTGAGTCAGAGGTCTTGCATTTAAATACTGCGTTTATCTTAAGATATGGAAACCTTTAAAACTCATGTTGGGGTTAAAATTCGTTAAGTATTATTGTGATGATTTTTTTTTTTTTTAATTTTAGTTGAAAATTTGGGAAATTTTTAAGGCCTGCATTTCTGTTTGTCCTTAATTGGTTCATTCACCAAGCTTCAAAAATTCTTTTATTTAATTTGAACTCATTCCAGAATGGAGTTCAAGCTTAAATTTTTATTTTTTTTTTTAATTTTATTTTTTTTTAATCTCTGAACCAGGAGAGTAGTTCAACTTATAGGTAACCTGTTATGATTTGGGCTATAGGATGGCAGACACTGCTGTTGTTCCAGTATTTGGCCGATTTGGAAGAGGGGAGGAACAGGTTGTTAGTGTGAATGCATTGCATCTTAATTAAAAAAAGGAATGTAGTTCCGAGTAGTTAGCTGATGACTTTTCAAAAGGGGGAAGTTCTGGCTGCTAAATATGTAATTCGTTTTTATTTTGGCGAGTTAATGATAATCAGCTCCTTCTGTGACTTCAAAGTAGTACTTTAAAAAGCTCTGTATGTTTGTCTATATATTTTTTTAGAACTTATATCCATATGCTCCAGAACCTAAATGAATCAAAATAAGTACATATATTACTAAATTTATTTAGAGATAATTTTTAAAATGTTAGTTTACCTGTTGCAGGAATGTCCTGCAATCAAATTGAAATTTTTTGAATAAAGATTGAGATCTGGCTTTACAGAAGGAAAAAAGGTCTAAAATACTCTCTTGACTTTAAACTCTCCATTTTCTGCTTAGTTGTGATACCTTTCATTTTTATTACATTTTTGGGAGTGCTTATGTCAGGGAAATAATATTTTTATGATTTTAACTGGCTAGGTCTGGGTAATATTTTTTACATGAGCATCCAGGTTTAAAATGAGTTCTGCAGAGAATGGGTGTATGCCATTTTTCAAATGTGCTAAGAGTTTTGGCAAATCAGAAGATAGCTCTCTCTGCATTGTTGTACAAGCATAGACAGGTTTTATGTGGTATTTAGGTATATCAGAAACCATTTTGATAATTTATGTTTATTTCTAACTTGGTCAGGATGACTTCAGTTAACTTTCTTAAATGCAAGTGTAAGCATTTTTATCCTTAGGTGCTTTTGCTCTCTACTGAGTTTTTGAGAGTTAAAACGTTTGTGTTGTTATTTTGGCAAGTCACTGGTGTTTCTCATTAGTTCAGTGTTTGCCTAAAGGTCTCCCTCCCTCCTTCCCTCTCTCTTCCAGCCACGCTCTTGCCCTTTTGCAAAGAAAGTACAAACTTTTCATTCAGGCAGCTCAGTCCGTGCCTCATCCTGGGCAAACACCTGCTTTGGGAGCGTGGCTGTGCAGGGGTGGCACTGATGGAAATCTCAGCCTTGTCATAATCCAGCAAGAGATGCCGGGAAAGGTTTGTCTGTCATCAGGATCTCTGTGTCTGATAGGGGCCAGTGCAGAGAGGGGGTCAGAGCAGGGTAGGGGTGCAGAGTTGTGTCTCCAGTGTTCCTTCAGGGGCTGCAGAGCTGTTGGATTCTGGGTGAGCCAGAGTTGGTCCTTAGTTGTGTTTAGATACAGGGGGGAGGCGGTTAGTTCATATCTTTGTCTTCGAGCCAGCAAAGTGTAACACAGTGACAGAGTTCCTGTGCTGAGCTGGAGGGCTCAAAGGAGTGTCTCCTCCCTTTGCTTGAACTGGCTCCTGACAGAATTGTGCAGGTTTTTTACCCAGAAGAGAGGATGAGCATTCCTTCTCCCCTTACCTTCCCTCAGTCAGTGCAATCTGAATTACAACCACTTCCAGGATGTACTCTTAGGGGCTGAACAGTGTTTGTGAGAGCAGAGTATTGAATAATTGCCATCCCAGTCAAGCTCTCCTGCCAACCAAGCTTTTACACATAAATCACATCCCACTTAAACGGGGGTATGGACTTGCTATAGTTTTTTCTAACTTACGTTGAACAATGAATTAAAAGATCACAGAGCAATGTCTCTGGCCAAGAAAGCCTCAGGTTTTATGCTCTGATGGGGAGCTTGTGATTTATCTTGAACTTAGTTGTAGGAGTACTTTCTACTATAATATGATAGTAAAATTAATAATATTATAATATAAAATGATACTCTTAAACTATTTAAAGAAGCAGAATCTTAGATAAAATGTCTTTAATATACCACTTAGTCATGGTACAGTAAAAACATACTGTGTGAATAACATTTATTTCTTTTTATTCTGCTGGATGCACTTTTGGTAGAGGAATTTTGTGTGTCTAATGTCCCTTCCCTCTCACCCCTTTGCATCCCCAGAAGGTGGAGGAACTGTTGGGACAGGTATCCTGTATATACTTGTATCACTAAACATTTTTGCCATTCCCTGTCCACTGTAATTTCTACTTGAGGCTTGTCACTGTTGCATTATAGTTACTGTTTTTCATATGTTGCAGAATTTTGAGAGAAAGGTTTAATCAGGATGCCTAGAAGTCCTTCATTTTTTGTTTATTGATTTTTTTCTTCATCAGAAAACTAGTTTTAGGAGGAGCTATACATCTAGTTTTCAGCTGAGATCATCATCAATCTGTCAAACAAACAAATGCACAACACTGGAGTTGGGAAGACAAAATACTTATCTTAAAATACATTAAATAATACTTCTAGTTGTATTTTGCTTGTCTGAGCATTTGTGGGGAACTGACCATTGCTTCTGTTAACACGTTTACTTCACAGCATGCTTTTATCTTCAGAGTGAAAGAATTTAGCTGGGAATCAGGTGCTGCATTTTGTGTGTCTGTAGTAATTTTTATCTGAACATGTTTTCATGCTCTTGAAGAATTGTCTAAGTGGACACACTGAGATATGATATTAAGATATACAGCTTCTTTCGTCTGCCGTGGGAGAAGATTTACCAACCTCCCAAACATCTTACCTGGGGTACCCCCTTCTCTAAATTAAACCTGGCATGCTTTTATTTTACCATTTCGTAATTTGCCCATGATTTGTGCTCTAGAGGGAAGGATTACTAGTTCATCATGCCAGCCTTGAAAAATGTAGGAGACGATTCATAACAAAGAAATTGTTAGAAGGCCAAAGGAGTAAATCTGAGGCTGATCCTGCTGCATTGACTTGTAAATTGGCAGCTTATCTGAAGAGAGCTTTGCCAGTCATCCCAGAAGCTCTGAGCAGCAAATACCTCACTCACCCCTATCAAAGTATGTGTGTTGTAAAAGGCAGTGTGCTGCCGATGACTTTATTGAGCAAACTTTTTTTGTAGATCTGCAGTAAAATTCTGTAAGTGCTCATTGTGTTGCACAGAACAGGTGTAAGGTGAATAAATGTGGATTTTAGTAGATTTGGGCTGGCTCTCAGGGCTCACTAACTTCTTAAATTAGTTACAACTTATCCTGAGTGTGTCCCAAGAAATTGTCTAACTGTTCCTGAAAATCATTTTGTTTGTGCTACCTGTGGTTTTGTTGGTTTTTTTTTTTTCTTTTCCTGGGTTCTAGGCACAAAAGGGTTGTGCCTCTGAGTCCTTCTCAGAGTGATCTCACCTGCTGCTTGTCTTGCATTTGCATTAGTTATCCAAATGATAAAATGATTCCATAGAACATGGGTGGGTTTGTATTCCTGGCTCCTGAGGGAGTGCTGATGGCCATAATGTTGGGAAACTAAATCCTCAATGTAAAATCAGTCGATAACCCTAGTTTGATTTAAAAGTGTACTGCTGACAGGTGTGCAGACTGAAAAAATAAGCAGCCAAAAGTTTTAGTTTAAAAGGACATAAAGACCTACTTTTGTACAAGGCAAGGCAGGAGTAAAACTTTACTTAGGAACACGTTTGAGAATTTGTATGATGTGAATGCGCTCAGGATCTACTCTAATAACCACTGATTTTTTCATTTGTGTTTCAACTTCCAAAGGTTTTTTGGTGCTTGGAATGCCTAATTTTTAATGTTAGTTTAGTTTTTACATTTTTATGTTTTATTTATGGCTGATTTTTAATTTTCTCCAGACTAAATAAATAAATT